GACGAGCAAAATGGTATTATAATCAATTTCAATAAAATTTTAACAGAATTTGATGATTTATTCATTAAAATAACAAAGAAAGAGTTTGATTTTTCTTCCAAAGTTGAATTTGAAGAATTCATCGTTGAAAATTTATCTGTAGAATTGCAACAAAATGATCGTTGAAGAAATCAATTGTTATATGAAATTATTCGAAGAACTAATCAAATACATAAACAAATTTATTCCAATGAAATTCTAATTCTATATGAAAAATCTAACAAGCAAATTTTAACTTCTATCGATTCATTATGTACAGATTTAAATAAAACAGAATTAAAAGAAAATTTTCAATTATTTTTCAAAGATTTAACTTACAATGGTTATTTGAAATTATTTGATTATATTGATCAAATCTATATCATATCACCAGATTGATTAAAGATTACAGATAAATACCAAAACTATGTTGAATTGACGAGATTGATCAATGAATTTTTCAATAATATCGATTACAAATCAGATTTCGAAATTTTTCTCGAAAAATCGACTTTATTCTTAAATTATCTGCAAATGCAATGTCCGATAATGGCAAGTGGACTTGATAATGTCGAAAATCTACCGAATGAAATTAGTAAGATTTTGAATGAATTAAAAACAAGTTATACAACTTTCGATAGATGTTCATTACGAAAAGTCATATCAAATGACAATCTAACCAGTTTTAATCAATATAAAGATGAAATAATTCAAAGAAAAATCAAAGAACAAACATTTAAAAGTCTATATCAACATTTACAAGATAATCAAATTGATTATTTTATTTTAACTCAAATTGAACATAAAGAATTATTTGAATTATTAAATGAAATAGATTCATTTATTGAAGATAAAATTGAATTAGAAAAATATAAAGAACTTTATTCCATAATATAAACAAAAAACGGTTGTATTTATAAAGAATATATTGTTTTCGATGAAAAAATCTTTATTGAAATTTTTATTAATCAAATTTTGAAAAAGCAAAATCAGTTGCCAGTGGATATATTTCAAAATTATTTCAATCGCTTTGCAAATTGAATTTTCAAAAATTCAAATATTAATTCAGAAATTTTATTTTCATTAGATCAAAATTTTCGAGCTTTGACAAACGACAACCGACACTTGAGCGACCGACACCTGAGCGACCGACATTTGAGCGACCGCCATTTGAGCCGCCATCGTCAGCCAAGAATTGTGCGACACATTGTTTTAAAATTGAAGATATGATCAATTTTGTAAATCTAATACTGTTGATAATTGTGGTTGATCTTTGAATTTCTCTAGAATATTTCTAATAATAGTTAGATTATCAAATAGAAATCAAATAGAAATTGTTAGTAAATTCTTGAATATCTGTATCAATATCGTTCGATGTGATATGTTTATTAAACAATTGAAAAATATCGGATTTTCGATCTCTTTTAATGTAATTCATAATTCGAATATTCTCATCAATATTATTTTGTTTTTCTTGAAAATCTATTTTAATTTTATTAATAAAATTCTTGAATTTTTCGAATTGTTTTCCTCTTATTAAAAGAATTAATTCTAATTGATCAAATAAATGTTGAAATAATTGAGATGAACAATGAATTTGAATAAGATTTAAATCTCTTTTCATTTGATGTAATCGAGAACCTTGATTCGAATCAATATGAATGATAAATAAGTATTCAGTTACGAATTTAAGGAAATTTTTTGTCTTTCTTTTACAAAGTAAATATTCTTGT